CCTTCCCCCTTCCCCCTTCCCCCTTCCCCTTGTCCACGTCATCATATGCTTTTAAGAAGTAAGAGACCAGTGTTCAAACCTCAGTGCCTGATGCCTAAGATGAAGTATCGTCATGTGAACAATTATGAAGCCTTTTTTTTTTTAACAAGAAGCGCAAATCAAAGGATGCACCCTGGTAGAGAAAATGAAAGGACCCCTTGTTGTAACAGACACCTACTTCGTCATGGGCTTGTGCCCAGGGCGCAGGGAGCTCTGTCGACCCCATAGATGTTGAGAGGGGTGTGTGTGTGTGTTCGGGTGGGTGGTGTGCGTGTGGGGGAGGGGGGTATTCACCCATGCGAGTAGCCTCCCCTTTAGAGAGAATTAAAGAACCCCTGGTTGTAATGGAGACCTACTTCCTCATGGGTTTGGGCCCCGGACACAAGGAAGTCTGCTGTTCCCATGGATGTCCTTCGGGGCTGGGGCTTTGGCTCTTCTCTTATTACTGCTTCACTGGGCACTGACCTCTTCACGCAATCCGATTGCTTGTTTGTTCCTGCAGATGCAAAGGCGACTAAGTCCTCTGAATCATCTATCTAGTCCATCCCAACCATAACACTCAGGAAACGTCCAAGCCGTCTTTTCCACTTTGTATCTGGGTATGCTGGAGGTGATCGCATTCCTATTGTACTTAACCATTTTCTTGATCGATGAGATGGTGGCGCTACTGATCAACGCAGCCCGGGCACACTCCAGCCGTTTGTAGAATCCTATGGCCCTGATGCATGCAGCAGGTGGGGGAAGTCCTCCAGTTAAAGACCTTGCCGCATGTCAGACTCGTTTCTACAAACATCACAGAACAAACTACCACACTGGCGATGCCTTATGCATGTCGGGAATGGTTCTGTCGTTGACAATCGCTCAACCATACACTCCTCCAGTAAAAGATCTTGCCACATGCTCAGACTCGTTCCTACAAACGTCGCAGAACAAACTATCACACTGCCAATGCCGTATGCATGTCGCGGAGAATGGTTTCATCACCAACAATCTCTCAACCGTACAATTCTTTCCTCTGTCACTGGCGGAAATAAAGCCCCTGCCCCCTTGGGTTAGGTGAAATGGACACCTGCTCGAGTTGCATGAGCAGTATGGTCGAGGTGCGTCCTTTGAGCTTGAGCATTTCGGCAGCAGAATAACGTGTGCAGAAGGGAACCGTTCCGTTACCGCCAATCGCTCAACCATACACTTGTTCTGGATATGAAGTGTTATTTGTCAGTGGTGGAGATGAAGCCCACTGCTCCCTTGGGTAACCTTAACTGGACACCGTCCTGAGTTGCACCGGCCGTAGCGCATGGGCTGATTCAGGAACCAAATCAGAAACATGTTCAAGACAATGTATGCATGTTGGTGATCGACCCCTCTCCCACCTGAAAGACAATGAACCCATGTAGCTGCACTGTCAATGGCGTCGTGAACTACGTTTCAGAACCTTCATTCCCGTACCATAGAGTCTGCTTGCTTGTTGGACGAGATGCATCGCTGCTCCTTAAAGGTAGTCCACATCAATTTTGCAGCGCAGTCGATGATAACTCTACCATGGACTGACACACAGCAGCAGCAGTCACAGTTGTAACATACTTCGCAGCAATAGCAGTTGTAATCTGTTAGTAGTAGTAGTAGCAGTAGTAGTTCTAGTAGTAGTAGTAGTAGTAGTAGTAGTAGTAGTAGTAGTAGTAGTAGTTAGTAGTAGTAGTAGTAGTTAGTGTAGCAATAGTAGTAGTAGTAGTAGTAGTAGTAGTAGTAGTAGTAGTAGTAGTAGTTAGGAGGAGGAGGAGTTAGTGTTGCAATACTAGTAGAAGTAATAGCAGGAGTGTAGTAGTAGTACTAGTGCTAGCCACTGTAGTAGCAGGGATTTTCAGACGTTTGAAAACGGGCGACTTCCAGGTGTCGTAAATCTTGATCATAATGGGGTCCGGCGTGGGGGAGAATGCATCCTGCTACTGTCATCCCTTGGAGGCAACTACTGCCACCTTGTCAAGCATATACGCAGGCAGAAATCCATTAAAGATATCGATGATGTTAGTTCTCATGTGTCAGATCACAATGTCCATTGTCCTGAGCAGATGTATACACATTCTGCTACGCCCCCTAAAGCAGCCGATGCTGCTGTCAGAGGCTGCGAGTGGCCTCCTCCTTGGTCCATCATTCTTTGGACGTGTTAAGGCTTTTCATGACCTGTTCTTCCCACAATGGTCGGTCCTGACACTTGCGAGTGTTGCTGATCTTGGCGTCATCTTCTTAGTGTTCTTGGTTGGTGTTCGTGTCGATGCTGCCTATCTTCGCTCTTACGGATTCACTATGGCCTGCATTGCAGTAGCAGGGCTCGTTCTCCCATTTGGCGCCAACTCGATTATCGCTTTTATGATGCACAGTGTCCTTGGCATCAAGGATACGAAAGTAGCAGCTTTCGTCATTCTGATGGGCATAACACAGAGCGTGACGGCTTTTCCTTTCCTTTCGAATATTCTCACTGAGCGCAAGCTGCTTGGTACCACACTGGGACAAATAATCCTTCCCGCGGCTGGTCTGATTGACATAGTTGCTCGCTGGTTGCTGTCTTGGGCCATCATGTTGCTGAACAATGTGTTGAATGTCAATAAGGTGCTCTTCGCTCTTCCAGCTACCATCGGCTTCGTGATTTTTATGTTCGCCGTGATTGGGCCGTTTGTACGCTTTCTGTCGGCGCGCAGCAAAGATTTGGATACTGTGCCAGACTTGTGGATAGGCCTCACCTTGGTGATGGTCCTTGGAGCTTCTTTGATCAGTAATCTCTTGGGGATGCCTGCCACGTTCGGGAGCTTTTTGTTTGGGCTGCTTCTGCAAGACGGCACACCGCTTGCTCTTTCGGTCGCGGAGAAATTGGAGACCTTGATTATCCTGTCCGTTCCGCTCTTTTATGTCCGGATAGGTCTCAATTTCCGCATTGACATGCTCGATTCTGCGGCCATCATTGCAATTTTTGTGGCCAACCTAATTTTTGTCACTCTTAACAAGGTAATTAGCTGTGGCGGCATTGCATTGCTCTTAGGTTTCGGCATGAGAAGATCTTTCGTCCTGGGTATACTGATGTCCTCGAAGGGGCTCATGCAACTGATCGTTATCCAAACTTGCTTCCTAGCCAAACTAATCAACACACGGGTGTACACGATGCTAGTATTGACGGTTTTACTGTCAGACTTCGTTGTCTCCCCCATCGTTTCCCGGATTTACAGTGAAAGCCACCGATTAGAACTGGACTTGCGCTTCTTGACCAAGCAACAAATCAACAAAAGTGGACGAAAGGACCCCTTTCTCAATCCCTCGTCGCGTCTTAGTGTCCTCATGTGGTTTGACAGTGGTAAAATAGCGCCCGCTATGGTGGGTCTGATGGAGCTCTGTAAGGGGAGCAATCGCAGCCAGCTCCAGGTTCACGTAGCGTATCTCTTCAGCCTTTCTGCTCCTTGTGCCAGGCCATCTCCTCTGATGACCGTCAGTTTGGCTGAGCTCCCGACTCGCTACTTCAGGTGGAGATTTTTTCCACTGATTTACAAAGCCTTCGGTACGCCCACTGAGATCAAGATTCACCCGTCCCTGTCCATCACTATTGACAATGACCTGCACTGGGACATCCTCGCTGTGGCTGCTAAGAAGCACGCTGACATCGTGTTCCTTCCGTTTCACAACCCTCAATCCGCTTTGCCAGGCCAAGTTGGTGAGGTCAGGAAGACCAACAAGGTGATCCTTGATTTACTTCGATTCTCTCCATGCAACATTGCGATCTCTGTCAGACCGAGGAATCAATCTGCAGGGAGCAGTATGGGGGTAGACCCCAATGCCGAAAGTTCCACAGGCGACTTCACTATCTGTGTCCTCTTCTTTGGTGGTCCAGATGATCGGCTAGCCTTGGCGCTAGCTGGGAGAATCTCAGCACACAAAGGGACTGCCACTCATGTGATCAGGTTCCTGCCTCAGACAGATACTCCAGGGGCGGATGATTACTTCCGGGCAAATGAGGAGTTGGGCTCCGGGGGCTCCAGACGCTTGTCCTTGTCAAGCATATGGCAAGACACGACTCAACAATCCCGAGGCAGACGGCCAAGCTTACAGAAGTCCATGTCGGCCTATGGAACCGAACTGCAGCGGGACAACACTGCACTGGCATTGTGGTGCCAGAACAAGTCAGCAAAACGCGACTCTTCGACAGGCGATCGAGAATCAAATAACAATGAAGAACAGAGAATGCCGCTAGAGTCGCAGATAGTCCGAGACCCTCTGGCAGCTGCAGTGGTTGCCGCTGCCAACAAGGATTATGATCTTGTCATAGTCGGGAGGGGGCATACAACACCTTCTCCAATCCTTGCTGCTACTGCATATAAACGCCCCAGCAGAACACGTTTGACCCTAGGAAAAGTGGCCAATGCACTGTTCACTGCTGAGCCTAAGGCGAGGCACATAGTTGTTGTTCAGAAGGGGAACGTCAACAGAGCTGCACAAGCAATTGAAGCGGCGGGCTTTTCTGGTTTTGCAAAGGGTTTCAATCTTGCCTCCGCTACTGCTCCCGAACTCGTATCTGAGCAAGATGATCCCATAGATACCCTGGAGGAGATGACTCCCGAGGCGACAGATTTAGCAGAAGCCCCATTCCTAAGTGACATGCCGTTTTTCGATCAAGGTAGTGTTGCTATCTATGCTCCTGCTACTGGGGCACCTGGTGTTGCAGCGGATGCGCCTGCTACTGGTGCTGGTCAAAAAGCTGCAGAACAAGAGGGTATGATGATGTTCTTCTGAGACACAGAGCAGTGGTTCTTCTATCAGTTATCATGGCACTGGGTAATCTTTGGAAAAGGAACATCTGAGCGATGTCCATGATTGGACGGGTCAGGCGGGCGGGTTGTCGCCCTCTAGACCCTGTGAGCATGCTCACAGTGGACTTTCATAGATGCATCTGGCCACAGTTGCAGCTGTAGCTGGGTGTCCCTGACCGCAACTGTGCCCAGAGTTTAGGGGAAAAAGGCCTGGTGTTAGTACGCCTAGAGAATGTTGACGAGGAGATGCTGTGGCGAGAAAAGACGGGGTTTGAAGGCAGCACAACGATCACCGCCTAGACATAGATGGCCCCGTCGTTGTCCCTAACCTTCACAGGTGCTCAGCGCCATTCATTTGATCTGAATTGATTCATCCAAACGTGTGTGCATGCATGTGTGTGGTGGTGATGAAGGCAGAGAAGTGGGACTAAGTGGAACGGGGCTTCCCCACTGTGGCTATGACACCCCGCGGCAACCTTCAACTGACATAAAAAACTATTCATTGATGAGAGATGCCGAAGGTCGGTGGACACCAACAGGAGGGCGCTTACAACACGCAACGGCAAATCGCATTCACGCGCATGCGTGGGGGTGTCAAAATGTGAACATGTGGGGTGCTTGTTTGTGCAGTGTGAAAAGGTGGACAGTTACGGGTTTGCTCGTCAGTCACAAGTGTTCGAACAACGCTGTAGACTGGATGAGCTGAACGGCAGCTCTCGTGAAAGAGGCAATAGCAGCCCTGGTCTTGAACGTGCACGCTCATGCCTGCTCTCAGTCTCATGGCCCCAAGTAGTCTACTCTTGCTCGCTTCTAGGCAAACATACTCGTTTGTTCACAGCAGCAAATCTTGCTTAAACGCGTCAAGACTGTGCTTTGCAACCTTGGCTAAAGCTTGGCCATGAAAGGATAAGTCAGAACATCTCTATCAGACCACAGGAGCACACAACAGTAGGTAGGTGTTTCATTGACGACAAGTGCTGCTGAGAAGAGAGGAATCTCTACATGCTTCATTCCTAGATGCAGCAGAGCGCAGTGGAGCCTCCTCTGCCTTCTGTACCTAGGAAATCTCAATGGGAATTCAACGTACTGCATGTGCTGCTTCTCCTCGAAGTCTCATAGAAATAAGGGCCAGGTCCCATAGGCGCTATGTTCCTGCTAACAAGGCACGAGCATGACCATGATTATTATCAGGTTCATCCTTTCCAAGCGTGAACATAGCACTGATGAGCCTAACCCATGTTTGCTGAACCCATCTATGCTTCGTGCTAGGCTGGTCAGTACCTATGAACTGCTTGCCTCTGAAAAAAAAAGGTCTGTTGGCAAAGAATGTCCAGCAGAAAGTCATATTAAGATGCCCATCAGGCCCATCACACCAGGTAGCACCCCTCCTGTCCTCCTCTTCAACCGGATGCCACACATGTTAAAGCCCTTCTTCACCAATCTTTAACTGCTGTCTTTGACGGATTTCACTCTGCAAGAAGTGCTATAGAGATGCCATAACCCGCACAAAAGCACTGTCTAAGACTTCTGCAATTGCTGAGGGGGTCTGTTTTCTGAGAATTCTGAGTCTGAGTCTGTTTTGCTGCGATTTGCTGTGTTTTCTATGTGTGTGTGTGAACTGCCACTAATGTGCATGTGCTGTGTGCTTGACGAGTTCAAGTCTGTGTCCGCGTGCTGACTCAGTTGATCGTGTGTGTGTGGCTGTGACTCACACAGGGACAACGTAGGAAAAGAAGCATGTCCAGGGACAGGACTGCAAATTAGCGGTAGGATATGGTCGGGGATAGTTTAGTGCTCAGGGGCAGGTGTAGAATTGGTCAGGGACCCAGTAGGGTTTTTCAGCAACTTGGGTAGGCCCTGGGATACGGTAGGCTGAGTGGGTAGGCCAATAACGGCCGAAAAGAGTCATAAGTGCTGAGGGCCATACCTGGTAGGGTAGTAGGCTGGATACAGGCCCCGAGGCGGTGTTGCGGGCTGAAAAGATGTTTCTGCCCGGTAGGCCTGGTGCACCCAGTGGAGGCCGAGCAGTGCTGGGTAGTGCCAGGCCAGGAGGTACTGGATGCCAGTCAGGCAAAGTATACGAGTGGGTTTAGAGTAGACGGCAAGACACTGCAGCTCATTTTTTTTAATTTATTTATTTATTTTTTTAAAGAAAAGGGCGACGGTCTAGAGATATCACCATCGGACTCACTGACCCTAGGTGATTCAGAAATGTAGTATTTTACTCGTCTGGAGTTCAAACTCAGGTCTGTATTTCAACGCCTCAAGGGTGTACCAACTGAGCTAGGCCAGTTGGTATGCAGTTCGTTCTTCAAGCGGACATTATGCTGCAATGAGGGTCCTCCGGGTGCTGGCAGTAAGGGGCAGTAATCGGACGGACATTGATTCTGGCACTTTCATTCATTTGATAGAGTTCGCAAATCTCAGCAACCCTGTCTGAGTCCTGAGTCCTGAGTCCCAGGTCCAGTCCCAAGTCTCAAGTCCCGAGTCCCAAGTCCCAGGACGTAGTCCAATTCCGTGTTCTATTAGTGGTTGTAGCCACTTGTACAATATTCGCAAACACTCCAGAAGAGTAGTTTTCGTTTGTACCAGGATTATGGAACCTTTTTTTTTTTTTTTTTTTAATTTGGACCATTTCTCGCTTTATGGGTGTCATCCTTGCGCAAGGGCCATACTAATCTTCTCTGTATCGTTCCAATTTTAACAGATCTCCTGAAGGACAGGATTATGGATACCTAAGCAGGTTAGTTAAGAAAATTGTAGAAGAAGTCCCTGCTAGGTAACAGTTATTATGGATTATGGATACCTCAGCCAAGATCACAAAGTGCATCAGGCCAGGTGTCAGTCAGTCCAACCAAGCAGCCAAGTCCAAGGAGAATCCGCAAGCTCCCAGAAGCAGCAAACAAGGAAAAGGCAACGATAAAAGTTCAGCAATACCTGGATGTCAACAGTGTGTGTTGGGCACTCAGTACAGAAGCGCTGCTGCGGTCTTGTGCGTTGGAGAGGCGACTCAATGAGAGTGAGCGTTGGACAATGTATTCAACGGCGCTGGGCGCCATACTTCAGGTGGGAGCGAGATCCAAGAAGAGAGAGAGAGAGAGAGAGAGAGAGAGAGAAAGAGAGAAAGAGAGAGACCTGCATGCTGAGTTGAGCGGCCATAGCCACTGATGACAAACAAGACGGTCAAGTTTGTGTTGATTTTTGAGGCTCCTTTGGGCCGTCGTGTGTCTCTGTGAGTGCGGTGTGATGTGGAACTCGTGTTTGAGTGTATTGTGCATGGTGGTGCAATGAATTGCAGTGCTTCAAGTGAACCCTTAGGATTGGAGGGCCACTGGGGCTGAAACTGACTTTTGCCTCTCATCAAGCTCATCAGAGTCTGACCCAAAAACAAGCGTTCAATGAAGTATGCAGCAGTCTTCTTCTTCCTTCTCGCCACCGCATACCCCTGGCTATGGCTGTCGTAGCAGCAGTAAACAAATAAAAGTGGAATACTCAGATTACCGTTCACACTCAGAAAACCCAGATAATTAGAGTTAAATTGTGCTGTTTAGTGGTATGGGGAACACGGCAGGCTAGTGCCAAATGTCAAGGGATAGTATGAGAGGTTATGGGCTCAGACCAACAGCCAAAACCGTCAACGGATTACTTTAAGTAAGCCCACAGCCAAATCAGAAACACAAACTTTTCTTTTCTGATCAGGCTCAACTGACGAGCAATTGAGTGGCAACCTCCTTTCTGAGCGGCGGTTGGAGTAGGGACTTGTCGTCCGCTTTCTTCAACTGGAATGTAGTGTGTGAGGGGAGAATTACCACTATCAAAAAAAAAAAAAAAAAAAAAGTGGTGGAACGTTCAGTGAAACTTTCAGCTGGCGAGAGCAGAGTTGACCGCTGCATCAGCCCTAAAAATGGTCTGGTGGACCTGAGGGTCTTGCGACGCTCAAGTTACAGGTCGTGCCTGTTGACAGTTTGTTCGACCGTCTGGGCCGCTGCTGCGGTTACTTCAACGAGTTACTTGATTGGATGTAGCGGACCCACCAGGTGTGGTGCTCCGCTAGTGACAGAGATGGAGATGGAGGAAGAAGGGGGGAGCAAGATGGCACAACGCAGCTCCCCACGCAAGACTCCAACGCACGTACTCCAAAATGTGCAAGTAAGGAATGAGACTGAAAACAGACAATGGCTGGGGTATACCCCAGCGGACTGACGGGACTGGACTGGACTGGCTGGTACCGACAGAGGTACCGGCCTGGACTGGCCTACCCCGAATATAACACAGGCCTGTGAGAACAGGCCAAGGGGCTGGTCTCACAGGCCAACCTGAGGTCCGCTACACGATCCTCGGCCTGTCTCTTATACACATCTAGATGTGTATAAGAGACAGGGCCAACCCGAGGTCCGCTACACGATCCTCGGCCTGTGATGGATCGCCTAGATACAAACATGCTTCCGCCAAGAAGCGGAACTCTACCAAAGAAAAGAAAACCTGAGTAGTCTAGGATGCGGAGCAAGCTCCATGCTGAGTCCATGCGATGCAACCTAGGATATAAAATGTCACAAAACAGCAATGTCACAGCTAACAGCCTAAGTGAAAGTAGGAGCAACTAACTAACATACATGTCATAGGAAAGCAAAAAGTAGTGACAACTAGATCCTAGAATGTTGGAGGCACTAGCCTCAGTCTGGTAACAACTGACTAGTGTATAAGTCCTAAAAACAGCAAAAGCATAACAACTAAATCCTAGAAATGTCGGAGGCAGTAGCCTCAGTCTGAGAGCAACAAAGCAATCAACAAGACAACCATATGTCACATGAGAAGTGTGTCGCACACCAAAGGGTGGGATGGTCTCTGAGGGTGGCGAATGCAGCCTAGGGGTTGAAAACTCCTAAAGGCACACATAGTGACAGGGGAAAACGCATGTCATCAGGCTCAATGAGGGTAGGGAACTGGGAGCGAACAGAACCAATGACCCTAACAGGTAGACCATCAGGCCGGGTAATGCTCGGCTAAGGGGTGACCGTTATGGAGGGTCGACCATGCAAGGGAACAAGGGAGCCTGGTATACTGGGTGCACCTAGATGAAGCATGCGAGGCTGCCTAACTAGGGCGTGAGGGCCGGCGAAGGGTAGAAAGATGATGGGTAAGGGAATCATGCAAATGACTCCTAAAGTGAGGGAAGTCAGAGCTAGATCCGTAAG